ACCCCGTAACAATATGCGTTTTGTACTGCTGTTACACAGCACAAAACGCATAAAAACGTACTGTATAGCATGAAAGAATCAATTTAGCAGCGGTAACCAAAAATCACATCCGAAAACAGTGAAGCAACAAAAAAAACTCGCCTTCCCTCAAATTATTCGTTTTTTTTTTAAAGTCAAAGTAATGGACAAATAAATTTCGAAGAACTCTCTGTGGGCTTAATCCGTTCGGTTGCAGTTTAATCAGAGCACATTACCCATGCAGATCTGGGCTTTTCCACGATTGCTCACTTTAGTATCTCCCCGCTAACTTGCCAGCTGATTCTGCAGAACATACGCCCAGCTTTCCTAATCACCTTTCGAGTAAGAAAACGCCACCAAAGTTTATCTGTCAATGGCCCCGTCGCGCTCCTAAATGTAGTGACATCACTCAACGCAAGATGCCCGGAGTTCCGAGAAACACCGAAGTCCGAAAGCAGAAATACCCGCAGCCATACAAAGAGGTATCATGTAGCTCTCCAAGTTACACTATGTAAATCAAAAAAATACATCTTTCATTCGTAATAATGCAGGGTCTCACCTGTTGCATAAGCGAGCTGATAATGAACCAGAACGAGTTCGAAAGATTAAACTGTTTGGGCACAATGATAGCATCCTTGCCGACCAGTCCAACTCGCTCATATGGGGTAATCAGTCCAAGAAGCCACAATGATAACGATGTCAGCAAATAAGCTGCTAGAGTGCTGTACCATACGTCGGAACTTAACGGAGCCAGGAAAGCAAAGAAGTTCGGCTCTGAAGCAGCTGGCTTCTTATAGAGGATTGAAATGCCAAGGTGCATGTAAGGAACAGTGAAATCGATCACTTCACTGCGACTATAGCTGATTGTTAGCGATGTTACTGCTATATCCGCTTCCTGAAATATTCCCTTATTCTTCAAAATCATTTTTTTTTTGAACGGAAATACACTAGAACTATGATTGCAGTACCCCAAAAACATGGAAACAATAAGGGAGATTGGATGCAGGTAAAAAAGCTGCTAGAGGCATTTTATTACTTATATATGCGTATCCTGTCGAAACTAATCGGTGTGAGGAAACCGGCAGCACCAACTAAAAAAAGCTATTGAAATTTACATGTATGAAGAAGCTTGCAAATGTTAATGCATCCGAAGTGAACATTTCTATTGCATGTAAAATAAAAAAGATAAATGGCAACGCGCACCAGACTAGCCGGTGCGGTCATGCGTTTTGTGCAATTCAGCCCATCAAACGATTGCCTGTCAATGATTTTCACTTCCTTGTATC